TATTCTATTCTATTCTATTCTATTCTATTCTATTCTATTCTATTCTATTCTACTCTACTCTACTCTACTCTACTCTACTCTACTCTCATGAGGCCATGCAGCAGGACCAATTGGCAAATACTAGACAGTACTTGACAGCCTGGTCACTAAGCGGCTCCATTAAATCAAGATTTGCATGGAAACCTCCAAATTAGAGTCAGTTGCCAAGCGCCCAAATTTTGATCACGTGGCCACGGGGATGCTGCAACGGTTCTAAGAGTGAAAAACGGTCATGTCATTTTTTTAAATGTTGTAACTTTGAACAGTCACTAAATGAACTGTCGTAAGTCAAGGACCACCTGTATTGCGTGAATTTTTCTTCTAATGTTGCATTTCCGTCGTTTCCCACAGGGTTACTGGTATATGCTGTTGGAAGAGCTTTGCCAGATCTATTCTAAAGTGGTTCCTGCCCCTGTGTGGTTTCGATATTTCGTTGGCCTTAGGGAATTGGATGGCACCATCGGGTGGAGTTTTGGCATCTTGCTGGCTCTGCTGTATCTTATCCTAAAGGTAAACATTTGTTTCCTTCTCAGTGTCTTATCCTGAAGAGAATGGGGTCACACTGGGAGCAGAGTTTTCAGTGTTACAGGCAGTCCTTGAGAGGGATTTTGGAGTCCCAGTCGACAATCCCTTGAATAGGAGCCAGCCGTGTGCTGCAGCTGCCAAAAAAGCCAGTACAGTTCCAGGCTGCATCAACAGAGGGATAGAATCGAGATCACAGGAAGCGTTAATACCACTTTATAAGGCCTTGGTAAAGCCATACTTGGAATATTTGCATCCAGTTCTGGTTGCCACAGTATAAAAAAGATGTTGAGACTCTAGAAAGAGTGCAGAGAAGAGCAACAAAGAGGATTAGGGGACCGGAGCTAAAACATATGAAGAACAGTTGATGGAATTGGGTATGTCTAGTTTGATTAAAAGAAGGACTAGGGGAGACATGATAGCAGTCTTCCAATATATGAGGGGCTGCCACAGAGAAGAAGAGGGAGTCAAGCTATTCTCCAAAGCACCTGAGGGCAGGAAAAGAAGCGATGGGTGGAAACTCATCAAGGAGAGAAGCAACTTAGAACTAAGGATAAATTTCCTGACAGTGGGAACAATTAACCAGTGGAACGATTTTCCTCCAGAAGTTATGAATGCTCCTATACAGGTTAGTCCTCGAGTTACGACCACAGTTGAAGCCAAAATGTCTGTTCCTGAGGGAGACATTTGTTAAATGAATCTTTTGACAAACTTTCTTGCCATAGTTGCTAAGTGAATCATTGTGTCAACTAAAAAAATACTCCTTTGGTCTTTTTAGTTGCCAGCAGAAAGGGAGTGGGGGAAAGCAGTGCATTCCTTAAATGCCTCAGATAATCGCCTTGGCAGCCCAAAGCTGTCGGCGCACAAGAATATTGCCTGAGAGCACGATTGATGACTCTTGGCTATGGATGTGTCCCATTGGAGAATATACATCCAGGAGATGGGGGGTCAAGGGTGAAATGAATGATGTGCCTTAGTGTCGGCTGCACCCAGGCAACACCAACATGGTCACTCCTAATGAATCATTTTTTTTTTACTCTGAAAGATGCAGCTAGAGACTTATGATTTGAATGGGGGTGGATTTGTTGGAACCCTGACACATTGCCATTGTTAAGTTAGTAACACCGTTGTTAAGCGAATCCGGCTTCCCCATTAACTTTGCTGGTCAGAAGGTCCTAAAAGATGGATCATGTAACTCCAGGATGCTGCAACCGTCATAAATATGAGTCAGCTGTTAAACATCTGTATTTTGATCATGTGACCGCGGGGATGCTGCAAAGGTCGTAAGTTTGAGAAATAGTCATAAGTCACTTTATTCAGTGCCATTGTAATTTTGAACAGCCACTAAAATGAACTGTGGTAAACTGAAGACTATTGTGTACTAGAATTTCGTTGTGGTCTCCCATCCAAGAAACCCTTGCTTCATTTTCAAGCCCTGTGAGGTTGGCCTGATGTAGAATCTAGCATGCTAAGAAGCACGTGTAGCGACTGGATTTTATGTGGTCTAAGCTTATAGGGACATGCCTATTAAATTTAATAATAGTTGCATGACACTTAAGCACTTCAATTTGCTTCCAAGAAATGCTTTGAGTCTGAAACGCCAAGTAAACTATTATTACAGGACAGACCGTAATTCTTTTATCTCCTGTTCACTTTCCAGCTTTTGAGTTTTTTTGCACAACTGAAAAACTTCAGAAGGGTCTTACGGATATTTTTTACACGACCGGTGAGTATTTTTTTTAATCAAAGTTTTTTTTTTTCAATATAAACATACATATTTTGTGGACATTGTGCTGACTGGTTCAAGTCTTTTTTAAACAACAGTAATAATAATAATACAAATAAGTATGTGTTATTCTAATCTTCAACAATGCTAGTCTCTTTTCATAATCCATTTATCATTTTCCCATTAATTCATTTAAACATAAATAAGATTTCTTTGCGCCCTGTATTTGTTATCCCTAAATATTATTATTTAATATTTTTTAAGAATTACTCATTATTCCACCATAACTTCAATATTCCAAATGTGTAGGATTACTAATAACACCAAATATTAACAATATTTAATCATTCCTGGGAGTTATCTCAAAATCCAACATAATTTCTAGTCCTTAATATTTTAAATTCACAATACACTTTAACACACTAACCTAATCCTAAACTCCCATCTACTAATCTTAACTTATTTGGATTATATTATCTTATCTGTTGATGTATATACTATTATTTTCCCTTCATGTATTTTCCCATTATATTAATATATTTTCTCATTATCCATCATCTCTTAACCTTTTTAAAGTTCGATCGTTTATTGCTTTTTTTAGTCAGCCTAAACCAGTGAGTATTTGTATGCTCTAAAGAGAATAACAGATAGTCCTTGACTTATGACTGCAATTGAGCCCAAAATTTCTTTTGCTAAAACAGCAACTGTCAAGTGAATAACAACTGCTAAGTGAATCAGTTTTCCTACAACCGTGGGAAAAAAGTCACAAAATGGGGCAAAACTCACTTAATAAATGTCTCACTTAACAACAGAGATGGGCTCAATTGTGGGTGTAAATTGAGGACTACCTGTATTAGGTCAAGCTATTCTTAAACAGGCAGCAAACTTCACACTCCCTTGTACTGATGATGTTATCTAGTTGGGTAAAGAAATGTCTGCAAGCAAACAACCAAACTCAGAGAGCCACTAGAATGCCACGAGAATTGGCCTTAATTCTGTCCCAATGGTTGTGGTTCTTTGCGCCATATTTTATAGGATTATAAATACTAATATACTTCTTGGTATCTATTAGTTTTGAGACAGAATTTTTGATTTTTTTTAATCATGGTCATAGATATATGTCTTGCTCAAAATGTAAATAGAGGGCGATGTTTAAAGAGGCATGAAAGCAGTTTTTGGAAGGAAGGACTTGCTCCATCTGAGCTTTGCTGTATAGCCTTCTGATTGATTGATTGATTTACTCATTGCATTGATAGAGCTTCCCATCTCACAGAAGGTAACCATAATAGCAAACAGTTAAAATTCTGAGTCTTGCACAGATATGCATGCTGTGTTATCTCTCTCTCCTGTAAACATAGAGCCCTGTGTTAACAAAGAAGCTGGCAACTGTTGGGTACTCTCTGAGCCTGGTTGTTTTCCTGCAGACGTTTCATTACCAAATTAGGTAACATCATCAGTGTTAGTAGCTGGAAACAGAAAGTCTTCTCTTTTTATAGAAATAAAATTAGTCATACCCACACAGTTGCTTTGAAAAAGTCCAGAAATGTATGGGGCCAAATTCTTGGAGCCTTTTCTGATCTTTGTGCAGGAAGATCTTCTCTCTAATTTTTTAAATTGAGGCTGCAAAACGATCCAAAAATAAACCTGGGTTTAAGGTCAGCAAAAGAGCAGGATAGCTCTGGGTCAAAACTGCAAAGTAAATACGCTCTAAAGGAGAGTATCTGTAGCTCAAGGTTGCAATGAGGGGACCTTGGTGATCTCAGCACTTGGTGGCTTTCTTGCAGACGTTTCATTACCCAAATTAGGTAACATCATCAGTACTGGAAGGGAGCGGGGTTTTGCGCTGATGTTGTAACCTAGTTTGGTAGTGAAACGTCTGCAAGAAAACAACCAGGCTCAAAGAAAACCAAGGACCCTTGAATACTCTCTCTCTTCTCTAGCACCTCTAACATTATTTCACCCTCTTCCTCTTCCTCCTCCTCCTCCTCCTCCTCCTCCTCGCTTTGCAGAGCTACGGTGTGGTGGCCAGCAAGAGACAGCGTGCCGAAGCAGACGATCTTTGTGCCATTTGTCAAGCTGAATTTCAGAAGCCGGTTGTCCTCCTCTGTCAGGTAACACTCAGCGATGAAACTCTTGTAAGCTACACCTTGTGCACACGCACTGAAGTTTGCATGCCCATTTTTCATTGTAACAGCACTTCCGTAACAAGTGAAACCTTCATCCGCTTAATGTCTATGGAGATTCTCAGTCCTTCAGGTCATGGTTGTCCCAAAGGTGCTTTTTTTCAAGAGGCAATTGGATTTTCTGGTTTTTCTTTGAAGACGTTTCGCTTTCGCATCCAAGAAGCTTTTTCAGTTCTGACAGGAGAGTGGAGAACGGAAGGATTTTATATTCCTTGCAGGCAGCTGGTCATTTGCATCCTTTGTAGGGAGTCATTGAGGCCACTTGAAGATTTATCTGTGTCCTCAGGGTCACCTGAGTGGTGCAAATAGGTGTGGAGCCTCCTTGGAACTGCTGAGAGGACTCTGTTGTAGAGAGGAGATAGGTGATATTCTATTCCTCCCCTTCTGTTGGGGGAGGGGTGTTCAATTTGGGAATAGATGGCCTCTTTGATCCCCCTCTCAAACCAGCAGTCCTCTCTGTCCAAAATGTGGACTTTGCTGCCTTCAAAAAAGTGGTCTTTCAGCCGCTAAAAGGATGTAAATGACCAGCTGTCTGAAAGAAATATAAATCCTTCCATTCTCCACCATCCAGTCAGAGCTGAAGAAGCTTCTCGGATGGGAAGCGAAACATCTTTAAAGGAAAAAACCAGAAAGTCCAGGTGCCTCTTGAAATAATAGCACCTGTGGGACTTCAGCCCCTTGGCTATTTAATCGGTCTTGCAAATATTGGGAGATCCTGTTAAGTCTGAATGTTTGACCTTAAAAAGCATCGTGTTACCAGATCTGAAACTGAGTTTTAAGACATAGAGGAAGTATCTGAAAGCTTTTTGAAATCCCATTAAAGGTAACCCTCCACTTTTAACCCTAACGGAGCCTGTTTGTTATGGTCATAAGTCGTAACAATCCTAAAGTGGGTCATCCTGATTTTATGTCACTTTTTAAAAAATTGAATCACCATGGCCGTTCAGTGGATGCTGCGATCGTTCGCTATGGGGTGTTTCTGTGCCGAAAAGCGGAAGTAAATACCGATGTTGGGCAAAAACATAAATCATGGTCACGACTGTGGGATGCTGCAAACAGTGCCTGGAATGTGGTCATGTCACTGGCAGTGTGTGTGTGTGTGTGTGTGTGTGTGTGTGTGAGGCCAGCTGTTGTAACTTCAGAAGTTGGTCGTAAGCACCTTTTGGGGGATTTGTCATAACGTCAAACTGTTGCTAAGTGACTGGTCATAAGTCAAGGACTACCTTTAGGAAGTTCAGCATAATGGCAGAGAGAACAACAGAGTGACAGAGTTGGAAGGGACCTTGGAGGTCTTCTAGTCCAACCCCCGGCTCAAGCGGGAAACCCTATGCTGTTTCAGACAAATGGTTGTCTGATCTCTTTGACAAATCTCTTCCTGAAAGCCTCCAGTGATGGAGCACCCACAATTTCCAGAGGCAAGTAGTTCCACTGGTTAATTGTTCTAACTGTCAGGAAGTTTCTCCTTAGTTCTAGGTTGGATCTCTCCTCCACTGATTTTCATCCGTTGCTTCTTGTCCTGCCTTGAAAGAGAGGAAGATCTAGTAAGTCCCCCTCTCTTCCTTTGATACTCCCAGGAATCATGCCAGCATACAGAAATGTTGACCCTGCCCTATAAAACTGCATCCATTTCTAAATCAATATTTTTCTTAACCAGGGAGGTGCAGTGGCTCAGTGGTTAAGACATTGGCCTGGTTGGCTTGCCCAGTTGGGTTTGAAACCCGAGCATCGTGCTACAGGTTGAGCTCCTGTCCTCACCCCAGTTCCTGCCAACCTAGCAGTTCGAAAGCATGCAAATGCGAGTAGATAAATAGGCACCACTTCAGTGGGATGGCAACAGCACTCCGTGACATCATGCTGGCCACATGACCATGGAAATGTCTTGGGACAAGCGCTGGCTCAATGGCCATTGAAACGGAGACGAGCTGCATCCCCCGCAGAGCCAGCAAGAATTTCATTAAAATCCGTAGTAAAAAATAAAAAGACCTTTATTTTTCCTAACCGTTCTGAGGAGATTGGAGTTTGTTGGCTGCTGATTCAAAATTGCTCTGCGAGGATGATGCGGGAGGAGATGCTTCGAAAGAGTTTGCCATTCAATTCTTCATGCATTCATCAATTTGATTTAGAGCTGAGCACAGCCGCTACCGGTTGAGTAACAGTTAAGGGGGTCAGTGAAGATCCCCACTCATCCAGGTAGAGTTTTCTGGAAGTCAAGGCAACTAGAACTTTTTTTCTTGCTGGTTGGCTTATCCAACTACAGGTCGTCCTCAACTTACGACTACCCTTGAGCCCAACATTTCCTTTGCTAAGGGAGACCTTTGTTCAGTGAGTTTTGCCTCGTTACGACGTTTCTCTCCCCGGTTGTTAAGGGAATCCCCTGCAGTTGTTCAAGTTAATGACATGGTTGTTAAGCAAATCTGGTTTCCCCATTGACTTTGCTTGTCAGAAGGTCGCAAAATAGGTTCGTATAGTTGTGGGACGCTGTAACCGTTATAAATACATGCCAGTTGCCAAGTGCCTGAATTTGGATCACGTGACCATGGAGAAGCTGCTTTGGTCAGAAGTGTGGGAAATGGTCGTGTCAGTTTTTTCAGTGCCTTTGTAACTTGGAACAGTCATTAAATGGATTGTTGTAAGTCAAGGTTATTGATCGCTTCTTTGGTCTGAGCAAGAAGGTTAGGGGTGTTCTGATCTAGGCCTCACAAAATCACAAAGCAGACTCCTTATCCCGACAAAACCCCTTTTATTTAGGCTAATGTGAATTCCTATCATTCACATCCAGCAAAGTCCTGGCAAACATTCTTTCAAGGGTGAATTGCAACCACAGACCTTATCTGGCTTGGAGAATTGCCAGGGCGATAGCTTCCAAGCGCAACGCTGTACAAGGAAACACTTGGCAAGGAGTCTCTGTGAGTCACGAACAAAACTTCACACTAATTAAGCGAACTAATTGTCTCCTGCAAACACCACTCCCCTTTTGCTCTTCTTTATTACCTAAGGGAGGGGCCATTCACCATCCACCTGAGCCTTTACTCCCAAGTCGACCCTTGTTCCTTAACTTCCCTTCTCCTGGCAGCTCTGTGCATGTGCACATCGGGAACAGGCTCCAGCTGTTCTTCTGCCCCACTGATCTCCAACTCCAAAGGCAGCTGATAACTGTCGGATGGCCCTGGCCCCATCTCTGCCTCTGATGCAGAGCCCTTGTCAGAGCCTTCCCCAGACTCCAGGACCGGCCCATGTTGCTCCCAAACCTCCTCACTGTCCGATTCTGCCACCAGCTCCGCTGGCTGCTGGCGGGCCACAAGAAGGGGGACTCTTCTTGGAGGACATATTTCAGGTCCCTCTAACCAATTTACTCAGACTGAAGAAGCTACTAGGATAAGCAGTGAAATGTCTTGAACTAACAAGAAAATGAAGTCGTTGCCATGACTCAACTTCCAGATAATGGTTGACTACATACAGCTTTTTCAACCACTTGTAGCCTAGAATCCATGTTTAGATATAAGAACGGAGTCAACCGAGCCCTTTGCAGAGTCCTCGAATTACAACAGTTCATTTAGTGACCATTCAAAGTTAGAATGGCACTGAAAAGTGTCTTATGACCACTTTTCACACATTCTTTGCAGCGTCCCCACGGTCACGTGATGAAAATTCAGATACTTGGCAACTGAAAGTCACGTCGTATTTTTGACGGCAGCAGTGTCCCAGGGTCACGTGATCTCCTTTTGTGACCTTCTGACCAGTCAATGAAGGGAAGCCAGACTCCATTCTCAACTGTGTTGCTAACTTAACAAGACAACCGCAGCAAGAAAGAGCGTAATATGGAGCAAAACTCACTTAACTCTTTTGTTTAGCAATAGAAATCTTGGACTCCACTGTGGTCGTAAGTCGAGGACTACCTGTAGTCATATTCCTAATGGAGATTCTCAGTCCTTCAGGTCATGGTTGTCCCAAAGGTGCTTTTTTTCAAGACGCAACTGGACTTCCTTGGTTTTGCTTTGAAGACGTTTCGCTTCTCATCCGAGAAGCTTCTTCAGCTCTGACTGGATAGTGGGGAATGGAAGGATTTATATTTCTTGCATCATTTGCATCCTAATTTAGAGAGTTGTTGAGGCCACTTGGAGGTTTATCTGTGATATAGGAGAACAAACCCATCAGGACAAGATTCAGCAGCCCACCTGCATTTAAAAGACAAAAGCCACACTTGGGGACAACAAGGTCCACTGAGGACCACTGTTTTGAAAGAAGGGTCAAAGAGGCCATCTGTGTCAAAATACAACAGTCTTCTTTCAACAGAGGGCTCGGGATAGGACATCATCTCTCCTGTTTAGAACACAGGCCTTTCAAAGTTCCAAGAAGGCTCCACACCCATTTGCACCACTCAGGTGACCCTGAGGACACAGATAAACGTCCAAGTAGCCTCAACAGCTCTCCAAAATGAATGCAAATGACCAGCTGCCTGCAAGGAATATAAATCCTTCCATTCCCCACCATCCGGTCAGAGCTGAAGAAGCTTCTTGGATGAGAAGCGAAACGTCTTCCAAAGGAAAAAAAAAAACAAAGTCCAGTTGCCTCTTGAAAAAAAAAAAAAAAAAAAAAGCACCTTCGGGTCATTTACCTAATGTTTGCATGCTCCTCTAACCAAAGCAATCCCTTCTCTTTCCAGCACATATTTTGCGACGAGTGCATCGCTCTGTGGCTGAACCGGGAAAAGACGTGTCCCCTCTGTCGAACAGTCCTTTCCACTCACGTCAACAAGTGGTATGATGGCGCAACCTCTGCACAACTGCAACTCTATTAAAACAAACTAAAAATAAAAGTGGCTGTGTGCTTCACAATATAGACTCATTTGAGCACCAGGCGTGCGCGTTGTAGAGGACATGACTGGAAGGAGGAGAGAGGGATACAGAAGGAATAATGCTTTGTTCTCTCCACTGACTCTATTGGAATTCGTTCAGGTTCTTACAGCCTGTATCCTACTTAATTTTTCATATGCTGCTGCTGGGAAATTCTCAAATTTCTGAGTATCTAAAGATTATTTTTTACAGTCTACCAAATCAGCAGTGGGGATACCTTGACTGCCTTCCAGTATTAACATCTGGTCTGTGCAAACTTTAGATTCTGAGGTACAAAATCCACCTTGTAGGATTTGGCGTTATCGGGGTGCTTCTACTCATTGTACCTGGCCGTCACACAGCAAGAATCATGGAATCGTTTCTGCTTTCCATGTCTGTAAATCTCAACTTTCAATTATGCAAACGTGGATGAAATTTTCTTTTTTTTTTCTAAGTCTGAATTTTAAAGAACAAAGGTTTTGGCCTCTATTTTGTCAAAAGCAGCTAGATTTTTACTAAAGAGTTAAGCTGTATTTTAGCTATACTTTTTTTTAAAAAAAATGTAGCGTATGATTGATGAAAATAAATGCAGTTTGAATCTGTCAGCCTGCAATTTTTTGTGTTAAACTTTTTTACATGTTTATAAACTCATTTTTTTTTCTGCATTTATATGTAGAATGGCATGAATCTACTTGTGACCAAGGAATAGGTGAGCACACTAAGTCTATGGTGGCGCAGTGGTTAGAACACAGTATTGCAGGCTGACTCTGCCCACTACCAGTTCGATCCTGACTGGCTCAAGGTTGCCTCAGCTTTCCATCCTTCCAAAATGGGTAAATTGAGGGGGGGAAGCTGATGGTTTCGTGTGAGTGGCAAATGCACACAGCTCCATTTGCACAAACAGCAGGCACTGGTTTCGGAGGGGGGAGGGAGGAGGAGGTTGGGGACCTCTGCCCTATAAAGTGACTCTGGATAGCTGTATATGGACTGGATTCTGAATGGATGATTGTATACTTACTCACAACTCATCATTGACTTGGGTTCATTAGCTTTAATAATTCATCATCAAAATCCAGGAAGCCAAAATTAAACCAACTTCATCAGAAGCATGCTTCCTTATTCCGAGTCAATAACCAGTCTATTTCTTTTTTTTTTGGAGTATTTGGTAAAAGATGACACCTATTTTTCCCTATTTAGCTGCACATGGCACAAATCTGACTTCAAGAGACCTAACATTTCACCTGTTGGCACCTAGCCACTCAGATTGGCTTGGAAACCCAAGTTTTTCCCTTCAAGAGCAAGAAATAAAAGAAATCACCATTCGGTCATTTGTTCAAAGATGCATTTAATTGCTATTTACACCCATCTGTTTTGAAATCAAGTATATTTTATTACAGTAAATAGTACAGAATGAGGTAAGAACCCTCATACCATTCCTTGTAAGGCAGCTGTAGTCGGATTCATAATGGATGGTTTAATACAGCCAGCTAAAGTTTTGCAGAGAGAACATGGTTTTTAAAAAGGGTACAGGTGAAAAGTTGTCATTGTGCATCACTGTTGAGTTCTTCCCATCCCCTCCCTTCCTTAAAAGTACCAGGGTGCAGACGTTTTAATTACTGAAGATACACTGGGTAAGAGAAACTGAAATGAACCCTGCATCGTTTCATTCTTCCGAAAGCATAAAAAAGCTTAAAAGCTATATCCTGGTTTAGACAGACAATGAAAGCTTGTCATCGTCAACACATCCAGTACACAGCTTCTATTTCAACAAGGGTTAACAAGCCTTCCAGGTGGCTGGGGTTGCTAGACAAATTTGCACCTTACAGCCAGAAAGGACAGAGAAAACACAACCTGAACTACGGTTTTACACGGCTGCTGCCCTTCCAACCTGCATACACAGCAGTCCTAGGTTACCAGCAGAGAATAGTTGTAGCTCAGGATTGGGCTGTGGGATCCCTTGGTTGCTCTCTGAGCTTGGCGGTTTTCTTGCAGATGCTTCCTGACCCAGCTAGGTAACATCATCATTGCTAGGAGAGGGGGTTTTGCACTGATGACGTCACCTAGTTCGGTCACGAAACATCTGCAAGAAAACCACCAAGCTCAAGAGAGCACAAAGGACCCCTAAATCATTCAAAACAGACCTACATTCTCCCCTTTTCCCCCTACAGCAACAATGCACCTTGGGCCAACGTGGTAGGGGAAGGAGTAGACCCTCACTAATCCACTTCCAGCCATTCTGAGAGGCCAGTCCTTTGACATCCTGTCCCTTGATCATAAGGTCAGCCTTCTGCAATCTTCTCGGCTAAACCAGATAGGAGCAGGTGGCCTCAGGCTGGGGAAGATAACCTCTTTCCTCCCTGAAGATTGTCATCTGCAGACCTGCTAGGGAAGTGATGGCGACCATTCCTCTTAACACAGTGGCTCCCAACGGTACCAGCATTTTGGACTGGCAGGAAGGGGGGGGAAAGAGGCTCTATGAGAGGAGCAGGCATGCCCGCTTGCAGCTCCATCTCCGCCAGCGGCTGGCACTTGCATGCGCGTGTGGAACTCCGTTTGTGCAAGTGCCTGCCGCTCGCACACAAATGGAGCTGCCTGCCTCTTGGGCAGCCCAGTTCCAAACAGGCCCAGTTCCAGGCCATGGCCCAGAGGTTGGGGAGCCCTGCTCTAACACGCGGATAGTTTCTCCCACCATCATAGGAACAAGGTTAACACTATAGACTTGAACGTTTTCGTATGAACTAGGTTAGAACACAAGGGAAACTGACCCACGGTGCCTGGAGGAAGCTGATGGCACTGAAGCAAGCTTGGCTCGCCAGCAGTGTCCGTGCCCACAGACGGACAACCATGCGATCCAATGCCTCGCGTGTTCTGCTCTGCCCCTAATACGTCAGGCAAGCCGACCCGTTCAAATTATTTCTTATTATTTCCTCAAAGCAAACTCTAGTATACAATCAGCACTGATTCTTAGCCGAACGAAAAACATGGTTCAAGTCATCAAGATTTAATACTTAACATTTAATTTATATATATATATATATATATATATATATATATATATATATATATAT